CCCGGCCCTGACCTTTGTCTCTGCTATTCCTGCTCGCTGCTTGCCTGCTTGTTCTTTGGTAAGTCATGCCCAGCAAGCAGGCAGGAGGCAGGAGGCTGTAGAGAAAGTATTTTTATATGTTTGCATGGTTAGAGTTTTCTGAAAGAACTTTACTGGGACCTGGGACAAAGGACAGGCCTTACAAGTTACTGGATAAACGGACTCCCCTCTCCTGAGGTCTGGGCTTACCTTCCAGAAGGGTTTGAAACCCAGGAGCCATGAGGACTTCTAAGGACTCTCCCCTCCTGGAGAGAGGGAAGAGGAACCATATGTATACACACCCCCAGCTTCATATTGTTTGGGCTCCTCACCAACAACACAGACCCCAGGATGGGTACCTGGTCGCCAGTTTGACCCCCATCATGCGGCCACTGGGAAGGATCACAGAGCCTGGCGCATCTTCATAACATGTTTTCCTAACGTTGGTTTAATGGTATAGTTTTTGATACCATCTCTTCATATCAGAACTTTTTAAAGTATCTATGGAGTTAAATAATTTTACTCTAGAATAATTAATTAAAATGGTTTTTCAGTTACTGATATATAATTTTTGAAAATGTCATCTAAGTTTTAGAACTGTCAAGTTTGGGAATATTCTTCTTCACTGTGAGTGTAGGATTTACAGCATTTCACATTTTCTCAGTGACTAGTCACGTTTTAATAATATAAATGCTCCTTTAATGATCTTCATTCCCCAATTTGTCATCAACGTCCTCAATGTAATGGCATATTCTGTTTTTTTATTATTTTTACCAATAATAAAAGTGTGTCAAATCAGCTATATGTTTAAATATTTTTATCTATTTACATGATACACTCCTCTCATTAACTGGATCATCAAATACTACAAGAGCAAATTCATTATTCGCATTCAAAATTTAATTCATGAATGATTACTTCTGGTACCATCTGAACAGCACGCGGTTATAATGAATGTCAGGATAATTTGTGACATTTCAACACAGAGCTGCCCAGCAGCACGAGGGCCCTGGAGCGGAAGCAGGAGCCCACCCCCGGCGCAGCACTGAGTTGCTACTTCGTAATCATGAAAACAGAACTGCCCCGCATGTCAGGGCACTAACCGGGGTCTCCGCGGGCTCCGCGCAATTCCATGTCGATGATGCACCAGCGTCCCCTCCAGGGCCAGTGCAGTCCCAGTTCTCAGGCCACCGCCAGGACAGGAGGAAGGGGTTCCCCAGTGGGCTTCCCAGCCCTCCACTCTGGAGGCGGATCTGGAGAAGGAAGCAGGACAGCGATTCCTTGGAGGCTGAGCGAGCACCCAAGGCACTATCTCGTCTCCTTCTCTCCACTTCCACGTACAACCAGGGTCTGGGACCCCAGGCTGAGTGCAGGTGTTACAATGAGTGTCAGCCCACGACGAGGCTAACTGCTCTACGAGCATGACTTCCTTTACGCAGCAGCCCCCCCCCACCCAGCGCAGCAGGTGGAGAATACTCCTAGTAACCACCCAGTAGGTCACCATCCAGGGCTCCCACCAAGGTGGCTTCAGAGGGCAAGCCCAAGGCCCGCCCCCTGCGGCTGCGCCCCCCCAACCCCGTGCCCACCCTGTGTGACGCTGCCCTGCTGGGCGACACCCTTCCTTCTCCAAGTACCCTCTGCTTGATCCGTGCATCTGGCAGTCCTGGGCAGATACCCTCCCCCCAGCCACCAGTGTTTCAAGGTGCCCAGTCCAAAGGTCACATCATGGTGCTAGTGCCAGTAGTGGTGACGCTCCACTACTCCTCGGAGGGTCCCAGCTCCTCCTTGTCTTGCAGGGCTTCTAACCAGCAGGGCAGGCAGCAGGCCCACCCCAGCCTCAGTGCACAGATGGCAGAGATGTTCCCCAGGCCCCCACGCTGCAGGCAAGGGCCAGGTGTCCTGTGGTGCAGGTGCACCCCAAACCTCTGGAAAACATCTGCTAGAGTATCGGTGCTATGTGTCCACAATGATCAGGGAGTAAAGGAAATGGGTGACAAGCGCACCGAGGGAACAGAGGACACGTGCTTTCTCCGACCAGGGCCTGAGAGACTGCCCAGGTGCTGCCCAGGTGTGCGTGAGGAGGAGACGTGGGCAAAGTGGTGCATCCAAGGCAGAGGCAAGAATGCGTTTAGGGTCTGAAGACACGCGTGGCATCCAGGGCCTCACTCAAGACTCAGCCGCTGGCACGGAGCATCACTCTCTGTATCAAAATTTAAAATATAAGACGGAGAAGATCGGAAACCACGTACCACAGGACCGAGACAGCAGCGAGAGAAATGCCGAGTACTCTAAACGGGAAGGGGTCTTAGTTACCAGAAATCTTAGTGTCAGGAGAGCTACCCCTCAGTTTTACAAACCTCAAGGATTCAAAAGAAAATAAGTATGCTTAAAATGTATACCTAATACCTGGCAACTTCTAAAGCCAGCCCAAACCAGCCTTTGCTGCAACTCCCAAGTGCTTGAAAATTGAATATTAATGGGACAAATAATTTTGTCAAATCCAAACATTGCATAAAATGCTAAAAACAACTCAAAATAAGGGACCATCGTATGAGCCCATGTTGCTCTGCTCGCTTCTTCCTCCCAATCTGGTCTGTGGCTCAGCCCATGAACCGCCCTGGACTCGGCCCTCTGTCGCCGGGGAGGCGGCTCCGGCGTGGGGAGGGCCCCCGTTCCACGCAGGCACGGCCATGGCCAGAGCACTGCCACACGGAGAGGGCGAGGCTTGCTAGCAGCAGCCACGACCCACAGGCACACAGCACAAGCCCGAGGACATGTCACACTCCAGGCTCGCTGTCCCTTGCTCTGGATCCATTCCTGGTCAGCAGGAAGGTTCCTCTGTCATAGGATAGAAATTCTATGTTCAGAAATCACTCTCCCCCCTAACTTTGTAGTCCTGGCTCTATCACATCCAGCATCCAGGGCCAGCAAGCTCACGCTCAGCCCGGTCAGGGAATCTTGGAAGTCTTTCCTTACACTAAGGCTCGCCCGATGGCACCAGGAAGTGCCCAGCTCTGCACCAGGGCTCCTGTCCCCACTGCCACTGGCGGCACCCACCGCCGGGTCTTGGGCACAGCCCGGGGGCTCCATCCCAGAGGCACCAGCGCTGATATGAGCTCCCTGTTTAACTCAGCCCAACACTTTACTCCCCAAGAATCAGTTTTTCAAAGAGTCTCTTTTAGAAAAAAAAAAAAAAAAAAGAGTCTCTTTTAGGTAAAAAAGTGATCTCGAAGGTCAAGCTGGATAGTTAGGTTAATTATTCTGTTCTCCGAGCTGTTTCCTCCAACATAAGCCACTCTGTTCACCTCGGCCTTTAGTCACACGGAGTTCACTGTCCTTCCAGGCAGGGCTCCTTTGCTCTGGAAGCTGCACAGACGAGTCGCACACGTAGCTGCCCAGCTGCCTCTGCACTTGTCTCCCGACACGCCCCTTCCTCAGGCGGAGGCTGGCTACGGTGTCCGTGTCAGGAGGGCAGGGCGGCCAGCAGGCCAGAGCCGGGCCAGCCCGACCCCAAGCAGGACGTGCATGTGACTCGGGTGCCACGTGCTCCCGAAGCTGCCTCTCCTTGCTGCCCTGCGTGAGTTCCACTCTGCAGCTCTCCCCCGTGCCAGCATCCACGCTGAGCCACGGGCGGGACACCTGCCTGCTTCCTCTGCAGAACATTCCCATTAGCTTTGGTCCCACTGGTGGCCTTAACTGAACCATGGACCCACTTGTCGGACCTGAAGCCTGGGGCCACTGCAAGCTCAGGATCGGGACGGCTGATCCCCTAACGTGTGGAACGTGGGCCTCAGGAGGAAGCTGCCCAGATGGGCACCTTTACTAGATGCCCCCGCCCACGCTTACAGGTGCTGCTCACACGCCCGCCATCGCTGCTGGGCATGCTCGGGGCAAGGGCACACCTAGGGAGCGATGGGGCGCAGGGCCCATAAACAGGCTATTCCAGCAGGGAGAGGGAGACAGAGTCCGGGTGGCAAGGAAACAGGCAGCCTCCGAAGCTGGAGGTCTCTGAGAACAGAACGCACCCCTGGGGGGGAAGGGCCTGGGGGACACAGAGGGACACACGCACATTCCAAGGGCAGGTGCGGCCTCAGGAGCACGTGGCCCGAGCTGGGTCCCAGCCGGGGAGCCTGTGGCCGCTGCCAGACCCAGGCCCACAGCGGCCACAGGTCACAACAGGCAGAGGAACAGGACAGAAGAAAAGGTTTTTATTCATGTTGAGTCATCACCAGTAAAACGACACCTCACACTTGAAAAATGCCACCATGAAAGTCAGGTTTCACCATAAAAATGTGATTCGTGATTAGTATGTCAAAATGTATTTCTGAACAAAAAATATTAGTCATTTGAAACCTAACTCATTGAGGAGCGCGTGGGGAAATGGACATTGTCGTCACTGGATTCGAAGTTATTTGACATCACTCGACTAGGGGTGTGCGGTGATGAGGGAGGTGGCTCCTCCCAGGTCTCATTAAAGGGCCAAATTTTCCGCGTGACCAGAGAACAACAAATCTCTGACGCTGCTAAGTCACCCAGAAATTTCAAAAGCTGCCTCCTGCTTTCCTTTCAAACCATTTCACTGAAATCTGTTATTGGGTATCACAAAAATAAGTCCCAGCTGACACAGATTGCAGGGGCCCAGAACAGCAGCACACACTACAGGCTACCGGAGGTGACTGCTTGCAGAGGCCAGCCAGGGAAACGCACTCGTAACGAGCACCGGGTCACATCGCACGCCACAAGGCGAGGCCAGACCCACACGGCCGCTCCCGGCTCACCTGGCCCACTTTCTGTTCTACTTCCTCTCAGCGCTCCTGGCTCAGGTTCACCTAGATGTTACACAATCACACGGTCATGTTAGAGAACCTTAACCATCTGCTATGGCTTCCCTTCACGTAATGAGGACCCAGCAACGATTTCTGTAACATTGAGGCAGAGATGAAATGAAAACCTGGCACTCGATGAACCACGAAGTCTGCTCATTTACTGAAATCACTCTCTTTATTAATAAGGGTGACTTTTAATTAAAAAAAAACATAATTTAATTCAAATAAAAAAGTACAAAATGTAGCACACAATCACAGCTTCCCTTATGTGAGTGGGCACACACACACCTCACTTCCAGCGCAGTGAAGGTTGCGGCCCCACGGGCAGCAGCACAGCAGGAGCATTGAGTCCAGCGCTGGCTCCGTCGGGAAAGGGCGGCGAGGAGACCGTGCAGCGTCCAAAGCTCGTCACACCGGGTACAGTCCTAGGCCACTACTACTGTTACAGTCCAATTTGAATTTTAATACAATCGACTGACAGATCTGAAATGAAAGCACTGCTTGACGGTTTCAGATGCATTTTGGTATTAAATACGCTTCCAGGCATCTTTACACACAATAAGTTACAATGATAACGAAGACAGCCCTCGGCTAACGGCTTCTTCTACTACAGGGGCAGGGACCACGAACGTTGTCAGCGTCAACTCCGTGGATTAGAAGTCGTAACGACCTCTAGATTTCTTCAAAACAAGCAAACTAAGTAGAACACATTTTAATATATAAACCTTAATGGTCTAATAACCCTTCCAGATGGAAGGAAATACAAAATAAAGCTGACATATCAAATCTAACTTTCGGTAATAAGCTTCAGGTCACTTTGCCAACTATCTGTACAACCACCTAATATCAAATATGCTTTGACTCTGGATGGCTAAAGCCACACACACACACACAGAGTTGTGTGAACCTACAGCTTTATTGACACTTTTCAGTAAGCTCTTAATACTCGTATTTTCATGGGTTCAGTCCTTGTAATGAATTTGAGTTGTAGATAATCAAATTTCCACAGAGAAATGTGTAGCCAAATCAAATCAAGAATATCATATCTTCTACACATGGGCTCAAGTAGGAAGCATTTTGTTTAGTATAATGAAAACTTAATTTTTAAAAATATCTGAAGTCTTTTTGAAACACAAGGCACCAATAGGGAGCAGACATTCCAGCAAAGAGTGATTGTCTGGGGAAAAAAAAATGGAACTGATCAGAGTCCTTTGTCCTTTGTTGATGAGAATACTTCCTTCCTTCACGGCTATGCAACATCTTCCAGATAATCCGCAACATCACTGAGCTGGGACACAGTCAGGTCCTGTGTCAGGTCATCAAGCTTTGTTGTTCAAAAGAAAAAGAAGAACGGGTATTAGAATGCAAGCAGAGTTATAAATAATCCTTAAAATACTTGCTATAATTTAAGTATTATCTTATAATCTACAAACTGCTTCATATTCACCTTCTATGTTGAAATCTGTGAGAATTACCAAAAGGCTGACCTAACAGCAAAACTCTACATTAACAAAAAACCAGCTAACATATCCCTCCGGAGCTCCTCTGGTATCTTCATAGCAGCATGCCATGGCCTCCTGAGGGTGGCATGAGGCGCACAAGTAAGAGGCTGGCCACTGGAAGCCGCTCAACGTGTCAAGAGCTCTCACTCACCCTCGCCAACAATCCAGTGAGGCAGGCATTCCCATTTCCATCTCACAAACCAACCAAAGATTGAAGATTAAAGCCTGCCTAAGAAAACACAGCACATAAAATAGGTGCCCAGATGCTGCTGCCTCAGATGTGCTGTTTTCATTGTAAAACACGCCTCTCTCAAAGGCTTTCCCCTGCCTGCTCATTCCTTGATGGTCACAAGCATTTGGAGAGCCCTCCTCATTCCGGAAGGTTCGCTCCCTTTAGGCTGTAGCAACCCACAAGCCCAGAGGCACTCACGGGAGCAGGGTGCAGCTGTGTATGGGCGCCCACAGGAGATCCTGAGGTGCTCCCTGACCCCGCGTCTCACACACATCTAAGTATGTGGAAAGTGGATCTCCAGGATGGAGATCCTAACCTTTCAGCCGGCCTGCACTCCTGCTGCATCATCCCCTGTGGGACTTCTGCACCAGCCCTGACCTGCCTGCTGAAACGCGGCTTCACCTCTGCCATCACAGCACCCTTGGACCTGTGCCAATTTCCACCCTGACGTTTCCAAACAGGACCTCTTGTTTCTGCTGACTATACCACTGAGGAGGCCATTTCTGACTCCAGGACTTGGGCCAGGAACTGTCCTGTCACAACTTTCAACTGTCTCCTAATCTGCGTAAACTGTTTAGAGCTCTGCAGTAAATAAGGATGAGACACACACACACAGCACTCGGCAAGCAACGCGCACACCCACTTTATCACTGGTATTGAGGTCATCGATTTCCACAGAAAGATCTTCTTCGATCTCTTCACCAATACTCAGCTCACTTTTCTCTGATCGATGGCTGGTACTAGTTTGAGAGAAAGAAAAAGGAAAAAGAACGTTGAATATAAACATTTAAATAAAATATAATAAAACAATATTAAATATGATTTCATACATATTATCTCACTTGATCCTTAAGTAACTAGTGAGGGCAACACAAACAGGTGAGTCACTTCGAGAGACAAGAAAAAGGTGTCCATAAAGGTGACCAGGACACAAGTCAAGGAAGATGCAACACAGACTTTTAAAATTTCATCTACCACATCATGCCCGTCTCTCAAAAAAATTGTTTAACAATAAATTATTCTGTTAAAAAGTAAACATAAACTCCCAATTGGGGGGAAAAAAACCCTGTCAATTGTGTAAAATTCTCAGACTCTAGTTTAAAAGTTCTAATCAAATCCGTAATAAGTATTTCCAAACTCTCCAACAATGCATGGGTTATGTTACATATGTAAAAAGGCTATCTAAACCAACAAAGTAAGAGACGTTATCTGAATCAAAACAGGAGCTGCGTGTGGCTGCCAATCCATGATGTCCAGGACCTCATGTCCCACAGCACCTAACACCTGGGAGCAACCCCATGACACTTCCTTGGGGCCCCTGCTTTACCCACGCCTATCAGGCCTCCTGGACATAACACATTTGTTCACATCCTAGTGCAAAACGAAAATAGGCTTCAAAGTCCAATTTATAGGGGATCCCTGGGTGGCGCGGTGGTTTAGCGCCCGCCTTTGGCCCAGGGCGCGATCCTGGAGTCCCGGGATCGAATCCCACGTCGGGCTCCGGTGCATGGAGCCTGCTTCTCCCTTTGCCTATATCTCTGCCTCTCTCTCTCTCTCTCTCTCTCCCTCTCTCTCTCTCTCCCTCTCTCTCTCTCTCTCTGTGTGACTATCATAAATAAATAGAAAAAAAATTAAAAAAAAAAAAGATTCTCTCTAAAAAAAAAAACAAGTCCAATTTATAATTCTATAACTAGAATTTTAACTAATTTTATAACTATCCTCGTCTCTCCAACTGCAACCAGTATGAATGAGAGCGCCGATTACCCTAAAATAAGCATGAATGGAATGGCCACACCTCTCTGGGTCAGAAACTATTCACGATGTACCTACTGCCCAACTACTTTTCTCACCTGTTAAAGTCATCAATGTAGTCATCTTCCTCTCCAGTGCCTGGTAAGGTGAAGAAAAAATATATTTATACCGACATGCTCCACAATTTATCTGTGATCATATACACAAATTCCTTTCAGGAAACACTGCATCAATGAATAATATTGCATCATTTAAAAAGAAGTCTCCAGAATCAGAAATACTATTATTAACCATATATAATATGAAAACAAAGGACCAGATAAACTGCTTGGGAAATAAAATGTGTGTCATGAAATGTAGCTAATTTTTTTATTCCAAGTACCCAAAAGCTTAACCACACTGTACGTTTACTATTTATAAAGTCCCTCTGCCCGTCCTCCACATGTGCACACTCTGTATCAAATAAATAATTTTTTTTAAAGGAGGCAGCTGAGAGCTGGACAAACCAGATGCCATTAGAGTGGGTGGAGAGAACCCTGAGTGGAAACCTAAATAAAGTACCAGACGTACAAATTATTGGGAAAGTGGTTCCAAGAAGAGACATGTGCAAAGGCCCAGATATAGGGAAGGTGCGGTGGTTTGGAAAACAGTGAGGAAGCCAGTACAAGCTCAAAATAATCAATCTGGGGGGTGGAGGAGGGAGGTGAGAGCAGAAGGGCTGGCAGGTCATGCTTGGGGGGAGGGGCAGGAGTGCAGGAGAACAAGGAAGAGGCGTGTAGTTTCTATCTTCTGAAACATCCAACCCCTGTGGGAAGATATGCTCTGAGGGGCAGGGGATGGTGGGGGTGGGGAGGGCGGCCACATCAGGAGGCTCAGTCAGTTGTCAGTTGAGCATCCAACTCTTGGTTTCAGCTCAGATCATGATCTCAGGGTTGAGAGATCAAGCCCCAGTCAGGTCAGGCTCTGTGCTCAGTGGGGAGTCTGCCTGACATTCTCTCCTTCCCCTTAGGCACTCTTTCTCAAATAAATCTTCAAAAAAATTTAAAAAAAAAATGACCGCCTTTGCTCAAATTGTCCTCAGTGCCCTTACCCATCAGGTCTTGGGAGATAAGTCACTTCTTAGGTGAGGCTTTTCCAAAATGCCTAGGCCAAGATAAGTCACCCTATGACCTGTTTTCCTACCAGTGCATGTTGACTCGCTAACAGGCCAGGTATTTGGAGGGACCTGTTTCATGGAGATCCTCCCTACTACAACCCAAGCTCTATGGTGGCATATGGAGTAACTCTGGGTTCATGAAGACTACCCAAACATCTCATCATGAAGTGCACACTAAGACTAAGCCACTTCAGTTAAGATTTTATTCTAAAAAATAATTGCCTTCAAGCAACCAACACTAAAATTAGAAATCTAGTTACCTAACCCGAGCGATCCAATTTTATCATTGACCAGTTTCAGGTCTTTCAACACTGTGTTTCCTCTTTTACCTGTAAAGGAAAAATATTCACACTAAATTGACTTTTAGAATACAACAGTCTCTAAATCATGCCATTTTTCTTCAGCATAGAGTTTATGACTAAAATGCCATAATGGAACACCAAGAAAGAAGTACAAGCTCTGATGAATGATTGCTGGTGTCATGCATTGCATCTCCTCATTCACCACACAAACACCAGTCTTTATTAGAAAATAAAATACTTTCCAGCCCAACTAACCAGCATCACTGTCTATAACGAGCCTCACCAGTATGAGTTCATTTCTCTCATCAATTTTACTTTCCTCTGAACTTCTCAACGTTGCTTTAATTCAACTGCTTTTTCACTGACCAAACTGACTTCACTGGTTTTATTTCTTCAGTCCCAAGTGCTCAATGTCCCTTCCACATCATTATTCCCTGATCAGTGTTAAGAGTGACGTGATTGTGACATCCTCAACCCCTACTGTGGGTGACAAAGGCGAGGAGAAAGAAGAACAAGAGGTAAACTGATGGGCGTGCATTAGCAAGCACACAATGAGTTTGCTAGATAGCTAAAAGCAGCCACACGTCACCTCCTTCACCTGTCCTATGGCAAATCCTACTGCCATAATATGTGATATTAAAAGGTTAGTAAGGGCAGCCCCAGGTGGCTCAGCAGTTTAACGCCACCTTCAGCCCAGGGCGTGATCCTAGAGACCCGGGATTGAGCCCCACGTCAGGCTCTCTGCATGGAGCCTGCTTCTCCCTCTGCCTGCGTTTGTGTCTCTGCCTCTCTCTCTCTCTCTCTCTCTCGGTCTCTTTGAATAATAAAATCTTTTTAAAAAATAAATAAAAGGTTAATAAATATTGCAAAGTTATGCAAAATCACATCACAGTTTCCTAATAAAGATCTGCTTTTTAGAAAACGTTCTCAAAAGAGGCACACTTATGCTCTGAACACACGGTCGATTATATTTACTGTGGTAAACAAAGTTCACCTACGTATCTACATATTTAAGGCTGTGCTTTCCTTGGTCTTGTTGCCACCTGTGTGTTGGGGGGAGGCAGGAAATAAACTGTGGTGTAGCTATCCTGTATCTTTCTAAAAACCCACCTCCCTGCTACATGTAAAAACGTCAGATTCATATTCCAAAGAATGAAGTCTTGCCATCTGCAACAACATAAATAGAGCAACAGAGTATAATGCTAAGTGAAACAGGTCAGTCAGAGAAAGACAAATACTGTATGATCTCACTGGTATGTAGGATTTAAGCAACAGGTGATGGGGACTAAAGAGGACACTTATCATGATGAAAAAATAAATAAATTTTAAAAATCACATTCACAAAATGATGCCAATATCCAAGGTAGAAAAAAAAAAAAAAAGACACATTAGACCCAAATAGCTAAAGGGTCTGAATATTTTAACTGAATATTTTAACATTCCTATGACAATTACTGTGGTACCACAAAATCTATAAAACAAATTATTAAGAACTGAATTTAAGTTCTACTCAAATCAATCTAAATGTTCAACAAGAGGAAAATGATTTAAAAATACTACATTTACTATACAAGGCAGCTAAAAAGCCAATTTCCAAAAAATATTCTGATGGCACAGAGAAACAGAATACAAAATGATGAAGCAAACGTGACCATACTAAGAAGTAGTGAAGAGGAAATGTCGCTGGTTTTAAAATTATGGGCTTTCTTAGTACTTAAGAGAAAACACATCCTCAGTCCTCAAAGTCCGCGTCTTCAGTAAGGAGACCGGGGGCTTCCAGGCACTCACTTTCAGAGTCTTTCAGTGAGGGGGCTCCAGCAAGGGAGCTGAGTCCACTTTTCAGGGGGGGCGCGTCGGAGAGTGATGCAAGGCTTCCTGCTTGCTTACTAGGTTCACTTCTCCTAACAAGAAACAAGTGGACAGTTAAAGGTCACACTAAGACATAAGCAACTTAAATATACATATCACATATGCACACAGTGCTGGGGAAAAAGGTTAAATATTTCATAGATTCAAAATCATTAAGTATTCCTACAGGGCAACGCAGGCTGAGCACTATCATCAGCAAATCCAAATGGCAACTTACCAGTGAGAAATCCGCTCAGCTCTCTAAAACAGTTTGACGTCTTACAAATTAAATTGCTCTGTCCTCTTCAGTGTGAGTTTTATCAGAAGCCCCCTCCAGCATGCAGCAAGGCAGGGAAGGGATGGCCCAAGAGGTGACCTGACCTGCACAGCTGACCTCCCCGACATCCTGCACTCCCCGCCCTCAAGCAGGTGTCTACCTGCCCCACCACCGCCCTCCACACCCACGGCCCACCCTCCTCAACCCCTCCTGACCACTTCCTACATCCTGAGGCCTCCTCTCCAGCCCTGCTCTGCCCCCACCCACTCGGTGGGAACCTTCAGGCTACTCCTGGCACACCCACCCACCTGCCCACAAGGGCACCCACATGCCCCCTCATTCCAGCAGACAGCCTCCGCACTGGGTGCTACCCTGTGCACCTAAGCACAGCAGTGTGGGAACCAGACTCTCCCCCACCCCTCAGCATATCACTCCCTCTCCTAACAGTGGACTATTCTCTGTAGACATGCACCCTGGGATATTCCACATTATTTCTCAACACCCTGCTCCTTCACACCCCTGTACAACACACTTACCGGGAAAATGCTCCCCACTTACAATCCCCGCCATCCTTTCCTGAACCCACCCTAATCTTTGATACCCTGTCCCCCGCATCCCCACAATCCCATTATCCCCAGCTACACAGGGCTACGTGCAATGGCTGACTTTCAGCACTTAGCTCAGGGACCCATTCCAGCCTCCTCCTTCAAGAACACCTCTCTTGGGTCCCCTTAGTCCCCTTCCCTCTTCTCCCCACCTCGCTCACCTCCACACTGCCACTCCCCAGGTGACCATCTCCAGCAGGCTTGAAAATGAAGATGTCTCCCCTAACTCCTAGACCCTTTCCCCACAGTGGGCTTGACCTCTGCCTTAGCAACCTTCCCACCTTTGACACATCAGAAGTGAGTTCTAGACGGTCACCTGGCATACCTGTGCAGCCCATGCTTGCTCTTCACTCTTTACCTGTCCGTGGTGTTTTCAACCGTCTAATTATTCAGCTGAAAACCCTGAACTTCTCTTGATGTCACTTCATTCTCTAACACTCATCAGCATATCCTTTCAGAGCTAACCTCAAAAGATATTCCCAAACCACCTATTTCTTACCACCTATGCCACTATCTTCCACCTGGATTATCCTGACAGCTTCCCAGCTGGAGACTCAGCAGGCAGGTGAGCCAGTGACTCTGCTGCTCTCAGATCCCGGGGCTCCCAGGCTCCCTCAGGGTAAAGCCACACTCCTGCTAGGGTAAGCACTGCATCCCCCTCCAGAGTCTGTGTCCACAACTGCCCCTAGCCGATCTCTGACACCTGTCACCACCTCTCCCCAGAGTTCTGAGAGCTCAGGTATCCACCTGGCTGACTCACCCCCTTGAAGCGAGGTGGTCCCTGTCCTGAGGCTCTAACTGAACAGCACATACTTCCACACACTCACCCCCCCCCCTTTAGCTTGGTCCCTATCACTCTGGCTGCATCCACCCACACAGCATGTTGGGATCACTTCTTTAGCCTCTGTCCACAAGAGCATAAGCTTCTGGAGGCAGGAGTGTTTGTGTTTTAACTGCTACATCTTGTATCTGAAACAGTACCTGGCATATGACAGGCACTCAGTATACACTTACAGAAATCGTTAATACCCAGGTTTTTTGCCACCTGGAATTGTTTTACAACATAAAGGCTTTAAGGAGAGAAAATCAGACTTACATATTCAGTAATTACAGAAGGTTTAGGAGCTCATTTTTTTAAAATCCAAAAATAAGAGTTTACTCACCAACCATAAGTTTTCTCTGGTTTAGGAATGGGATCATCAAAGAAAGAATCCCCTTCCATATCATCATCTGGACAAAGACCAGCTTTGTCTTTGACGTCTAGATTTTTGTTACTTAAGAAAGATCCAATTTTTGTCTCATGGGCCAGCAAGTGGAGGCTGCTTTTGCTCTTTGGTTCTGCTGATGAGATGCTTGTATCACTCTGACTAGCATCATTGCTGGCCTTCTAGAACGAGAGAATGGGAAAGAGAAGAGGTGTCCTTGGTGAAATAAAACATTAATAAGCTATCTTAAATAGTAAAATGTCATGTGAACATACGCGAATCTGTGTCTCGGTGTGCAAGGGCATGTGTGGGGTCTCATTACTGCACAGGGGGTGGGGAAGCCCCAGGACCTAACAGTTCATCCCCAGTTCACAGCATGGCTAACTTCTAAGGGCGAAAATGTCAACTGTCATATGTTTACACCATTCTTTGTCTCCCTTTCTAAATGGAAATAATTTTACCTATCCCATTTATAAACAAACTTTCCCATTTATAAACAACTTCTGCATTTCCTCTTACATGTACATCACTGCTTTGAAAATTATCTTAAATTAGTAAATTTCCAACCTGCAGAAAGGAGAAGGCATTACTAGTAAAGATGTAAGATTAGTTCACCTAAAGGAACAAAATATTAAAAAACAAAGTGGTCCATCAGTAAAAATAGCAGTTTTCCATCCAGTGCCAAATACAACACATGCGAAGGTGAAAGATGCCACCTTTACCATTGTTGTTCCAAAGGTAGACTTGCTACAGAAAGCACTGGTCTACGTTCAGACTTTCAGATAACTTCCTCTCATGCCCAGGGACATGTGTAGTACCATGCATGTTTCTGGGCATCTTGAATCATACAAAATCCTTAAGCATTTTTATGCCTGTCTCACAGATCTGGTGAAGTTGGCAAAAGAGCACACTGCTTTCTCGTTTTCAGCTGGCCTTAATCTGTACTTCATCATTCTAGTCCACATTTGGTCAGATTTTTTTTTGCCTTTAGGAATGCTTATATCAACAACAAAAATAACAGCAAACACAAACAACCATGCTAGTCACGACAGAGGTAGCTGACATTTCTGAAGAGCCTTCCCATCTTCCCACAGGTTATGTACTCCTCACCCTCAAAGCAGCCTATGGTGTGTGGGGAGTGGGTTCTGGTTTCCCTGCAGATATGGAAGATGAGGCATGGTGTGCACTTTTTTTTTTTTAAAGGTGACAAACGTGGGTATCCTATTTCCTTGGTGACTTGGTCATACAAGCAAACATGGCAAAACCCACTCTGAACCCAAAAGAACCGCACACTGATGAAGCAATGTGAGGAAAGGAGCCATGACATTCTGGGTGGACAGAAACACAATGGCAATTTGGCACAACGCTGCTATAGATACTGTTGGTTAAAGTCAACCTTTTCATTCCCAAGCTGTACACAAACTCTCTGTTCCCTGTTACATGCCTGCCTGCTCCATGCGGAAGGAGACCTCAAGGTGCTTGTAGCTGAGCAGAATGTCTGTAATGCACGTGGATGGATAGCAAGAGGAGTTTAAATGCTGGCTGCCGTCTGTCAGGTCGGGTGCTTATGACCAACCAGACTCCCCTGCATTCCTCATTCTCCCCATCTTGAAACTGCTGGCTCCCCATGAGTGAGGACTGGCTGAGAACAGCATCTGACATCCAGGCAGAGCCTGCCGGCCCTGAAGGGTGGACTGGGCCCTATACATCCTACACACAGTACGCGCCCCTAGGACTAAGGCCAGGAACAGGGACCAGTTCCCCAGGGGGTCAACTGACCCTACCCTTGGCCCACTTCTCCAGACTCCCCTCCCCCATTTTCAAAGATAAATGAAATAAACTGCCTATATATATATATATATATATATATATATATATATATATATATATATCAATCAATCATCACTTGTCAAGGTTCCCAGAAAGTGAAAGGGTCAGGTCAATACAGAAATCTGATTCCAGAGCACAGCTCTTATGTCATGCTATTACGGCTGAGTTGTTATTAAACTGCAGTGTCTGTGGGTTCAAACTGACAATTTCCCAAAATTCAGCCTTGCACACTGAAAAGGGCAGTGCAGTGTACGATGCCTGTGGTGTGCAAGAGAAGACTCTCCTGAGAGGTGCATGGGCCAGGCCATCCACACTCTACTACCAGCCACACGACCCCAAGGAACTGAATGTTTGCAGGCAGGGGTGTCCCCAAGAATTCAACCTGAGTAGTCTTTTCCAAACCTGGTTTCTGCCGGGAGATAAGAAAGAAAGCATGTGCAGCTGGGGAGAAATCTCTGGAGAAGACACTCCCTGAGGAAGACTGCCTTTTCACTATGCGTAGAGACAGAATGGGGCGTTTGTGTATGAAGATTCATGTTTACACTTTCACACTAGTTAGAGGCCAGGATTAGCTGACAGCAGATGAGACATGTGCTATACAACTTCTAGGACCTTGTATGCTGCTATATGTTCCAGAAGTTATTAATATAGATAAATTACCGTAAAAGATGTGTCTGGAAAAATACCAAGTTATCACCCTTTAGACAACATAGGATATTTTCACAGGGCAGACACATTTTATGACTTCCTAACAACATTCTTGAAATTTTCCTGCTATAATCAAATACAGAGAATTATCACCCACTTATATATCCCTTAGATTCATGCCCGCTGTAAGTTATGATTGATAAATGATTAAAAATGAATTTATAGATTTTCAAAGACATATGCATTTGGAAATAAAAACCCTGAGTCTTGTGATACTTAAACCCATTTACAATTATAGATACTGAGTGATCCACTTCCTCCATCAAACACTCCTGGGAAAATTCAGAAGGACACAGTGGTGTGAAATAAAATGGAATGTAAATGTAAAGCAACTTTACAGTGATTATTCCAATAGAGTCTTCCTTTTCCACATGAATTCACATCACCAACGTAACTTAAATTCGCATAATGAACTATCTACACATAGTACCTAACACCTATCCGTGACTAGTTTTTGACCAGTTTCAGCAACATTCCTGCTACAGGAACAAAGACTAGTTTGAGGAGGACAAGCTTCACGGACAAGCACACACTGATGTTCAGCATAATATGTATTTTTAAAAATAACAGTATGTTTTAAAATTATAGTTCTACTTATCTAGGGAGTAAAATTTAAAAATACTCAATCTGCTTTGGAACTGTTCTCAAAATGAATTTCTAAACCCCATAGGAATGTATCATTATAACTATGGCTACCTGTTTACCAAAAGGACCATTACTCAATTGGGTTACTAATGAATTCACTAAAGTTCATTCCAAATCACTTTTACTGCTAGAAAAAAATTCACACTGAGAGAAAGATTTATCAAAACATCTACAGATTAATACAAAAGTATTATAGAACTTTAAGAGCAATTTCCATGCAAGAAATCCAAATCTTGGGCAACTAGAAATCAAATCATGATATATACCCTGGGATCGGCTTAAAAAACCTTTACTGGGCAGCCCCGGTGGCGCAGTGGTTTAGCACCACCTTCGGCCCAGGTCATGATTCTGGGGACCCGGGATCGTGTCCCACGTTGGGTCCCCTGCATGGAGGCTGCTTCTCCCTCTGCCTGTGTCTCTGCCTCTCTCTCTTTCTCTCTCTCATGAATAAATAAATAAAATCTAAAAAATAAACAAACCTTTACCGTGGCTTAAGACAAGTCCTTGTCTTATACACATAAACTTAAGTTACTTGTGTTCCTACCACCTAGCTGTGGATAATCTGGAGCTAAGATTCAGGAGGAATCTAAATGGTGAAAATCAAGCACAGTTTAAAATAAGTAAGTATAACAAGAAAAATCCCTGGACGATGCCTTGGAACTCACTCCCTGGATAACCTCACAGGCTTCAAGCAGTTGTGATGGGTTAAATGGTATCTCCCCAAACAGAAGATGAAGCCCTAATTCCCAGGACTTCAGAGCATGCCCATGCTTATAAATCGTGTCACACTGCAGGAGGCAGGTCTCTACAAGAGAGGACATTCAGGGAGAACACGTGTGAACAGGGATAGTGGGGACGGGTGATGGGTCTACAAGCCAAGGAACGCCTAAGGACCACCGGCAACAGATCCTCCTCCTGGCCTGCAGGAGGAACCAGTTGGGCAGATACCCTGATTTCAAACCTGCAGCCTCTAGAACTGTGAGACACTACATGCCTGTTGTTTTAAGTCACCAAGTTTGTGTACCTTGTCACAGCAGCCCTACATGTAGATGTTTATAATAAATAACTAAAGCCTGTTTTGTCTTTTCATAAAAGGGAGACACCTACTGAACAGCATGAAAGCAGTCATTTAATTCCCTTGGACCAATCTCAAGACTCTTCATGGTGAGTTAGTGTAAAGTTGTAAGAAAGGTTTAGTCTATATTTAGTGCTCTACAAGCACACTTAAAAATTTGGATTTCAGTCATTTCTAGATTAACAGAAAATGAGCCTCACAGAGAAAGAAGTTTCACAGTGAAGATAATTACAAATTTTCGAGGAGCCAAAAAAAGTGAATTATCACTACAGTATCTTAAGAACCTAAAACAATAATAATTTTTCCAAACTAGTAACAGAGAAACATCAAAGCTAAAGAAATACCTCAGTTTTGCAAAAGTATTTTAAAAATGCATGAGTATTCATTCCCTTCCTCACCCACACAAGCCCCCAGCTCCCCTCTCCCACCCCACCAAAGCCTTTTCCTTGATATGACTTGAACAATTTTACCACAGCTGTAACATACATATATTTAAAATTTATTGACCTCGAAAGTAAATACTGTAGGATTCTAGAGTCACAGAATATTGCAACTTCTCTAAAATCTCTGTTTTTCTAGAAAACCTCTGTGCCTCACGCTCTCCAGATGATCTATGATTCCTATAGAGGCACTGTATCTCTGGCTTTGAAGCCAGATTTGAAAATGACCCTCTGAACAGCTCCACCACCCGGTCCAGCCAGCAGCTCTGGGGTCAGGGGACAGTGCCCACATCCAGCCTGGGATCTGAAGCAGCTAGACACAGACAGCTGGCCAGTGCTATGGGCCGAGTGGCAGAAATGCTGTTGGCCCATGTATCCACCCATGGATACACACCCACTCTGGCTGGGTGTGTGTGTATGTGTGTGTAAGGGAATGACAGTGCTTGGTTTATCTAAAACGCCCTGAGAAGACTGAGGACCCACAAACATGCCTATCCACCCACTCCCAAACACACATGCTTTGCGGTCTTCATCATGCCTTCAACCAGCAGAAGCCAGGCTTATCCCAGAATTTTAAAAATAGGGAATAATTAAAAAATATCCTTTCATGGGAACTTGAAGCAAAAAATACCTCAATACACACTAGTATTATAACACCTGAGAACTGGTTACAAAAAAAGGATGCTCTTTCCTATTATTTAACATAATGATAAAAAGTATCTGAGTCTAAAAATTAAACAAAAACTGTCTAACATCTTAAATAACAAACCTAAGTTAGCAGAACCTACCAAAAGTCTGTTGTCATTTTTGATATGCATTTTCTTTTCTATGACAACTGGCACCATGTTTGGTAACATGAGAGTTTACAATGAAGTAGACTATTAAGGAGGGTACTTTGGAAGTAAGTATTTAACAGATACTTGAATGTTTAAAGAGCCCCCCCTCCCCCACCAAACACTTCTCCACCAGTATTCCAATTCTCCCATCCATCCTTTACTGTCTCACAATAGTAACAAAAACCAGAAGCGTAACTTATTTGCACCCAACTTAAATTTGTTCAAAAACCTTATATTTTGCTCTGCACGCACATTGACAGGTTTAAAATAGCAAGTACAAATCATTTATGTGTCTCTACACATGCACACACATACACACACACACACACACGAATGACCTTTAAAGTTCATTTCTAACATGAATATAACTTCTCTGAAAACTGCCAAGGATCTCTGAATGAGCCATTAATACCGTGCCTCCCTGTATGTGAAAAAAGTAACAAGACACATCAACACTCCTTGCTCAGCGTCCGGGACTCTCCTGCTGCTCTGCTCATGGTCCCTATAGGGCACACTTGGCCATGGCAGGCAGAGTCACCACTTACAGATTTGCACAACTGGGAAACGCCCTCTAGCTACCATGTGAAGGGCTCCCCCTGGAGCCTTGTGCTACCTCAAGACCACATGCAGCTTGGTGTTTGAATATTACGATGTTAAGAATGTTAGGATATTAAGGATCTGCAAACCCACAGCATGCACGAGGCAAAGCAGAAAGGCAGAGGAATGAGGACCTACAGGTTCATCCACTACCAAGCTGCAAAAAGGCAATGCCAAATATAATTCAGATTAAGGCAATAGAGAAACAAAATCAGAAGTAGAGGAGAAAAAAAGGTTCCAAAGAGATGAAGAATCTGGGGTGGGAAATACAAAAATGAAGTATAAGGGCCCGACGGACAGCCTACAGCTCCAGGGCTGGGGCCTCCGTATTCCTCAGACACCCTCCAAGGTAAGGGGAGCACATGAGGCCCACCCGCTGCAGAGTGAAGGGTAAAGTCCAGGACACATTTCACTGCAAAGTGAAATTTCATCTTTCATTGTGCTTTGGCTGTATGTACAGACTTCTTCAAAATGTTTTAACCAATAAGATAATAAAAATTTAATACCATGAAATATGCTTTAAAGCTTTCTTAAAAAGTATAAGAAGAAAAAAAAAGTATAAGAAATTGATTAAAGGTATCTTTAAAACCATGCTGGTTTGTATTTTCAGGTGAGTCTCACCTCTCCAATTAGCCTGTCAGCTGCTTCAGTGGGGACCATAATAACCTGGCTGGCCCACAGCCCTTAACACAGCGACTTTCTCTAAAGTGTTCAAACATACCTACTAAATAACACTCTAAAATGTCTTCTCGTGGACTAACACATAAAAATAATGTGAATAAATATAGTAATGGGAATTTACCAGTGAAACCGCTAGAACTAAAGACAGCTAAAATAGCAAATGTGATTTCAAAAACCCTTTAATTTTGAAGGTCTTCAATAATCTACACATAAATTAAGGTTCAACGAGAGCTGAAGAATCTCACAGAACTAAATATTAAATATCTTAAGTATCTTATTCTAGATAAGGTGAGAAGTGTACTGATGAGTAGTGCTTCTAAGACCTGTAATATTTAAATTTTAAAAGCAGCTAATCTACTGGTTTAGTCAATTTTTGTCATGTTTTGGGGAGGAAAAAAAAGCAGCCACGGCACCCATCACTGCAGTATCAGCTCGCCCAGCCCTGTGTGTCCCGGTGGGTCTACCATGAGCCAGGGCTTCAGGGAAGGCTAATCACTGTGCAGTGGTCTGATAAGTTGCTGAATGCTGAACACAAAAATGTCTAGAAAGAAACTAAGTTTAGCCTCTAATTTATCAATTGGGACTCATCCAAAAAGCAGTTTGATGCTCTATTTACCTCAGATAAAAATCATAACGTTAAGAATATGTACATGACCATCCATTCAAAATGGAAATACGTATTTTCAACCTTTTTATTGCCAACGAAACAAAGAATTCTCCAAGTAAAACCTGTTGACAGCACATTTTTAAAATCCAACAGTATGATTTTCACCTGGATAAAAATCAAAAAATCAAATTACTTTTTGTTCTACGCCCCATGACTTGGCTGTATTCTGATTTCAGACAGAAGACAGTGACACTGGCATAGAACACTGAACCCTCAGCCAATAGGGATTCAGTGCCCGCTAGGAGGCCCACAGAGTTGGCGGTCTGCGGTGGCACAGGCTGCTTTTTCCCTCTGCCCTCATGCATGTTACCTTGGCACCAGACTTCTGCCCGCTTGTCTTCTTCTTACCTTGTCCTTTATACCTTGGTATCTGAGCATGAGAATAAAATGACATTTTACCACAAAGTAGAAATCTTTACAAAGAAACTAATTCATCAAACTAATAAAGTTTCCTATGAGAAAAGCTCTCAGGAATGGAAGCCCTAATCGATATGCTCCTTTCTGAAACCCATATTTTTTCTTCTCATTCCTTAATTCTCTTCTTCGAGTGGCTCCACCCGTGTAACTACGGTACCTCACACCTACTGGGTCCCACGTACACGCTGCGACCTTGCCCTGCCCCACAGCAGCTCTGCGCTCCACCACCAAGCCAGGCCCGGCCTCCAGAGCAGTCTCCTCCAGGAGCTGCCCTGGCCTCACCTGGCCTTGCCTCACTCAGGAGCACACAAAGCGGGTTCCTGTGGATGGGGCTGGGCTCCAGGCTTGGCCACAACGTCCCACAGCTCCTAGTGCTCTCCATGGGCGCCCAGACCGACCAGGTATGCTGAGAGCCCAAAATGATTCAAAGACCACTGAGAGATAAAAGACAGCTGGCAAGAAAAAGGTGGGGAAAGTGCTTAATCCCCAAATCCACATACACAGAACTACACGGAACTGCCACCAGAAGGCCTCATCTTGAAATGAGTCCTCCATGGCACTGAGGGCATGGCCGCTCTCACAGGGCCTCTGCCGCCCCCCCTCCGGCCTCTGCCACCCCCACGGGCCTCCAGCGCCCCACAGGCAACCCACAGAAGGTGGTGAGAGCAAGTAAGGGGACACCTGGAGGGGATCGCCACCCTCCAAATCCACCTTTTAAAAATAACAGCACTTCTCTGTACTTAAGGCCACATTTCCTAATTGACTTAAAAGATTCTCATCATAATTCTTAGATCTTAAAAATAAAATCTGCATAGAGAAAACATGTCCAAGACTTTAATGTTATCCTGAACACACACCACTTGTCAAAGGTTCATAGTGCTAATTTGCTTTACAAAATACTAATTTGCTAAAAAGAGAACTTCCAAACAGCTCAACGCTATAGGTACTGATGTTCTGGTATGTGCATTAATTTTAGCCCCTTCACAGCCAGACATTTTCACAGAAAGCACAGCTTTTTCACAAAGACTCCTGTATCTGACAATTCACTAAAAGGTACTTTTCAAATTTACTCACGACCTTGTTCTCTGTAACCACAGTTACAGCCTCCCATTAGCATGGAGGGAAAACCTTCCCCACAGAGAAGCTAACTAGATCTCAGAGAGAGGGGACACGTACAAACTGCATGATGGTCTCTTTCCTGGGCTGGAAATAAAGCAGAAAATCCTATGATTTGAAAAGATGAAATAAAAAAGATAAAAAGCAAATGCAATGTCACAGACCCAGGGACAAAACAACAGGAACCACTCGGTATCTGAGCCCAGGCACCTGCAAGACAGACATCTAGGCATACAACCCCTGCCCTCTAGGAGTCACCTAATGGAAGAGGCACAGCTGTACCGCCAAATCAACACAGCACCAGGAACCAATGGTAAGCGTTGCTCTGACCACGTACTCAGGGGGGCCTCACCCTAATCCCGCAAGATGGCAATCAGAGCAACAGTCACAACACAACCCGACCCAAATCCATCCTGGGGTGGGACTGGCTGCTTCTACCAATGTACCATGTGCTGCAACCAGTCACGAGACAACATGCTCCCTAACAATCACGTTCTACTCATTCTTGTGATCATGGACTTGAAATTTCAGCATTCCACTCAGTATTTTTCTCCAGTATGCCAAATCCCTGAAATCAGGAGGCCTTAACTTTAACAACCCATAAACCACACACACAACACACACACACACAACCAACCAGAGCACACATATTTTCTTATAAATCCTCAAAATAGCGCATTAATATAAAAAATCATTGTAATTTGCATTCCTGAACTGGTCATCTATCTACAACATTCAACACAACAATATTCTGGAACAATAGTCTGGAATCTAGGATCCTCAAGCTAGGAGTTCATAAATGAAAAGTAAATCTTGTCAACTAAGGAAGAAAATTTTCAAAATATCAAATGAGTCCAAATATCCTAGAGTCCTGTGATTTAACAGAGCATTCCTTTCTATGACACAAAATTCCTAACACTATGAACAGTGTGAAATAATTTTCAATATACACTTCATCAAGCAGAAAAAAGCAATTTCAAGAAACTAAACAGCACTTGCATTGCAAAACAAAACTTGGAACAAGTCAGAGCAAGAGAAAACCAGAGCCCTGTAGAAATCCTCGTGCCCCTGCAGCCGACTCACCTTACTGGGAGCACTGTGTGCACTTGTTTTGCCTTCTGGTGACTTTGGTGGAGAATGTGCATCAGATAAATCTAGTGCACCCTAAAATATTTCACAGTTTAAGGTTAGAACATAAAGTAAAACGTAAATATACATTATGCCTAATAGATTTTTAGCATTTAAAACCACTACACAATGGTGTCTTTAATTCTTTCTAAATAATATAATTCTTATTAGATTTTCTCCAATTTTACTAAAACAACAAAAACAAAACAAAACACACTTAGATCCTAATTACCTAAGTATTTCACTCTGTCACCTTTCGCAAGCCACTCAGTCGTCAGGTTCAACACTAAAATGTGTTGACCCTGGCTGACCTTCCCACACGATCCCTTTGCACCCCGTCCCAGTGACTGCACCAGCACCGGCCAGTGATTCTCATGCATCTAGTCTTTTCACCCTCTCTTGACTCACTTCTCTCCTTCCTTTTGTCACGGGACTATCAAACAGCAGCTCATAAATCACACCACCCTCTTCAAAGACCCATACTCTCCTTCTTCCTCTGCACATTCATGCTATCGTCTCATCTCTGGCCACCCCACTGCACTGTACCCCACCCTGCAGCATCACAAAACCACCACCTTCAGGGCACCAGCTGGTCGATTCTCAGCACTATGCTAAATGCAAAAGAGAAATTTTTAAATGTTTCTTCAATGGAAATGACCTCTTAAAATTCATCCACTACATCATAAGCAGCTATGTGCACTGTGTGCATATTACATATTGGTTACTTTGCTATAAAATCCTTCCAATGACTACAGTTTTTACATATGGAAATGTGCTGCTCTTCATGCCTCCTGCTCCTCCCTTGAGCCCCATGACTTCTGGTACAGCACCATCTTCTCCCAGGCTGAAAACCTCATCTCACCTTTGCAAGTTTTTCTTCTTCCCATATCACCCTCTGAGACCCTACTCCTCTGCCATAAGATTAATTTGCCAAATCTTGCTGCTTCTTCCTTTAAAGGAGAATCTTTATCTGCCCATTTGTCTCTGTGTTTACTGCCACCATTCCTATCTAGATGTGCCTTATAGTGGGTTTCACTTCTTCTAGTCTTTGAACGTCTCCCAACTTCACCATCTAACCTTCACAAATTCACCTTCCAAACAAGTACTTCCTCTGTACAAAAATCTGCAAAAGGTTCCTACTGACCTTGAAATACATCATCTGTTAAGAATCCTCCCCCTCAGGGTACCTGGGTGGCTCAGCTGGTGGAGCATCTAACTCTTGATTTCAGCTCAGGTCATGAGCTCAGAGTCAAGCCCCACATGAGGTTCAGTGGAAGTCTGCTTCAGATTCTCTCTCCCTCTCCCTCTGCCCCTTCATCCCGCATGCAAGCACTGTCTCTAAAACAAATAAATAAATCTTTTAAAAAGAAGAAGAGTCTCAGTTGGGCTGGACCCTGCAAAGGCTACAAAGGTGAGACCAAGCCCTTGTCCTCAGCAAAGGCATGATGTGTAGAGAGGGCCAGGCAACGGCAGGCAGCTACCACACCCAGGCAAAGCCAGGCACTCAGTTACAACACCTGCCAGCAGGGAGACAGGAAAATCAAGAGGAAGCATCCCAGAAGGCAGAGGGGAAGACAGGACCAGGAATGACAACATTCCACAGTGGGGTATGGGGATGATGCACCATTTCAGGTGGAGAGCAGATGAGAGGACAAGAAAGCAAAAGCCACTTTCAAGTATAAGCAAGCCTGGCTGAAACATATGTTCCACGTTTCAAGAAAAGACATAAGGCTAGAAAGATGAGTTGATACCACATCACGCAGGATCTTAATTAACATCAAGGATGAGAAATCTGGAAACTATCTGGTTGCCATTACATAGTGACTACAATTTTTAAAGAGGAAAGTAACAGATGAAGAGCTGAACTGTAAAATTAAGTCAGCAAGGGTGCTGGATGCAGACTGCTGACAGCACCACCAGAGGGTGCTGCTGATGGGAAGGGAGTGACTGACTAAAGGGTGCCCTAGATGGGAGGACGTGGGGGCGGCACAGCTAACAAGCAAGTGCTGGAATTGTCCATACTGGGGAACATCCAACACCCTACAAAATCCACTCAAAGTCACGCTAAAGGATATGGGGGACAGCAACCTCAGTTTTTTTTTTTTTTTTAAGATTTTATTTATTTATTCATGAGAGACACAGAGAGAAAAGAGAGAGGCAGAGACACAGGCAGAGGGAGAAGCAAGCTCCAGGCAGGGAGCTCAACGTGGGATTCGATCCCACAGGATTACGCCCCGGGCCGAAGGCGGCACCAAACCGCTAAGCCACCGGGGCTGCCTGCAACCTGTTTTAAATGCACTTTTGGTAAAAGCATCACTGAGTTCAATGGGCTTAATCCACAGCTAGTCTTCTTCTCCAGCAACAGAAGTCAAAGATTAATAAAACCTACAATTTTTTATTTCAGTATAAATGACAGGTTTCCTCTCAAAGTTATAAACACTAGTGAAGGATGGAAGAACCAAAACACCTGTGAGTTCTCAATTTTAAATATGAATTTAACCACTGACTTATATGGGCATACATAAACGTACCACCAGTTAAAATGACATACCCCAGTATCAAGAGGGGAAAAGTAGCAAAGATTGGGTATTTCATAATAGTTTCAAATTTCAAAGTAAAACAATGACCTCTTGAAGCTACAGAAATCCTATCCTGCTCTAAACAGGGTAAATGGATTGGAGAGGCTTCAGATCCACCAGGTAGAAAGACACATGAAGAACACACTGAGTTTTCATTTCCAAATCAACCCAACGAGACAAGAAAGCTCTGAGTGGGTCTCAGTGTGAAGCAGAAACCCTGTCTAGCAGCAAAGAGAGAGCTCTCCAGTAACTCAGCTTGCTTTCTCCCACAGCCTGCTATTGGAACCACCTGCTGGAACCACCCGGTACAGGCGGGGTGGGGCAGAGACACCCTCCTGACAAAAGGACACTGAGCCCAGGGCACAAGCAGAGAGGCGGCTCCTTGGATGGAAACCAAGGAGTCACAGAAACAGGATCAACATAAACAGAGAAATCTGGAACAAGAACTGGAATGGGGTGGTTACTTGGGAGGAGGCAGATTTTCTGTCTCATATGTATAGCTTTCGCTTTGTTAGAGTGAAGTCTGTTTTTTCACACAAGATTCAAATGTGTTAGTTCATGGGGAGTAGGGGGGGTACATCTGCTGAAGAGCTGGAGATCATGGTTTCACGCTGGGGAAAGCACTGGGCTGGACACAGGGAGTCACCAAACAGTAATGAGAACAAAATGACAAACAGCGATGATAAAGGCAAATCCTCGGAGATGCCTATACTGCAGGCACTGCTGCCAGAGCCTCCCTACCCTGCTCTCCCTCAGTTCTTACCACCCGCCGTGAGCTATTATTTCGAGCATCCCCAATCAGTGGTGAAGAACTTCAGAAACGTGGAGGTTAAGTGACTTAAGGGAGTCACACACAAGGCAGTGCTGGGACATGACCCCATGCAGCCTAGCTGAGAGCCCAGGCTCAGGCTAACATGCTCAGGGAGAGCACGGCAGAGAATGAGGGCCACCAGCACTACAGAGAACTGAACTCGTGAGCAGCCAAGGGCAGAAACGGAAGAAAAACACAGGTCACCACCACCGACAGACTGCTGGCCCAGGAGAAAGTAGGAAGCAAGACTGTCTGGAGTTCTTTACATTTATGTTGTTTTTTGTTGTTGTTGTTGTTGTTGTTAGTAGCTAGTACAATGCCCATAATAGGATAAGCACACACCAAAAACTTGTGAAGGAACTACAAATGAATGAAATTATAATGTGCAGTTGCAGTGACAACGTGTGCTCTGCACAGGCTGACTTGCCCCCCCTCCACCCAGTTCTGGTTCTGCTCCCCGCCCCAGTACCCCCCAACCCCAGTGCTCCGCTCTCACTGCCCTCTCCAGCATCCCACCCTACCACCTAGCTCCCTGCAGGCTTCTTAGAACACCTTCCCAGTCCTCTCCTCTCCTAGACTGAATTTAACATTTCCACTTGAAAAATCACTGCTCCTCTTTAAATCTGAAGACTCCTAAAATGTGTGGCACTAACCATTTACCGTACACTCCCTCTATTATCATAAGCCATCACTTACATGTCCATTTCCTTTCATCAGCATATTTTATCTCTAATAACTCTTAATTCTTCTCATCCATGAAACGATCTTAAATTTTATATCTTCAAAGACCCATTTGTTATGTCTTATATGCAACAGGTGCTCAGTCAGGCTCTCCTGACGATCAAAGACTCTAAAAGAAAACATACTGGGACTCTCCACACACAGTACAGCAGTGCACAACCCCTCACATTCTTACCTATAAACCGGTGACTGAGACAACTACCATATTGTCCACATCTGTGAAACTATCTCCATGCAAAATTAATGTTTGTAAATAGAAATCAGACTGTTAATCTCATTATTGGATTTCTAAAACGGAGTAAGAAAGGAAGTAGCTAATCAAGAAAACAGGAGTTTGACAATGTTTGGAAACTAAGCACAATCAACAGCTTAAACAACTTTGTCTATTTTTAAAAAGCCCTTAACCTCAAAAAATTATTAACCAGCCTCTCGTTCAGCTCTGCTATGTTTAAAGTAACAAAATGATGACTAACGAGCTGAGTGTTCTCCGCACTTAACACGTGCTAACTTGTGCATCAAGCCTCAGGATGCCCACCAGGCAGCCTGCTCTCGCCATCTTACACAGGTGGAGCGGGGAGAGGACCCCACATCCAAAGCCAAAGGCTAATAAGTGGAGGAGCTGCAGCTGTTTCAACAGAGCCTGGCCCTTGACCCTGATGCTACGTGTCCATCTGCAAAACAAGTGTACCACCAGACTCAGTTACTGTGTCTCCAATTTTCATCAAAATGCATATTTATGCAATCTGAGTGTGCTTTGTTTTGTTTTTAAGGAACAGCTTTTTTTCATTTAAACTTTGATTCACTATGTATGCAAAAATCTGCATGGCTATACTGAGTAGCCAATTATTAAAACAGAAGAAGGTAACATAGGCTCGAATTATACTTACCTCCCCATTGGTTGACCCTTTTTCTTTCTGTTGACAACGTCTGATCACTTCTAATAATAAAGGTCCACCCACAGTACCTTCTGCTTCAATAATACCTAGATCTCGGGCTAAATTCTCTCGGCCTTCAAGACCTTGAAACTAAGGAAGAAGTAACACGTGACAAGTAAGACAAAAACTCACAAAAGTATGCACATTATTTTCAGACGTTAAAGAAAAATATTTTTGAAACTTTTAAAGATATCTCTAAACTCAGATCATTTTTCTAATGAATAAAATACCCATAATATAAAAAAAATTATATATTTATTTTACCAAATCTCTACATCCAAAGTCTCCATGAATGAGAGTAGTCTGACATAATAACAATTCTACAAAACACTCTTTTCAAAGTTCTATGATGCAGCATGGGTACCATCTATTCCCAGCTCAGATGGCTTTTTAAGAAAAACAGATAATCAACTACAAAAGACTACATGTAAAACACTAAAAAGTGTCAAATTTTGTTAAGGTTCAGGTTATAATGAACTCATTTGTACCAAGGATGGTTTCAAAGGACAGATGTAAAAATCATTACTCTTACGGTGCTGGTTTCAGGCTGAAAAACGGCCAAGGTGAAGTCAAGATTGAAAAACTGGAGAAACTCTGCAACAAGACTAGCCGCCAGCCGGCCTGCAAAATGAAAGGCGGTGAGCACACCTGTCAGAGCCCTGAGGCCCCTGCACTAACACCAGGAAGTAAGAGTAACTAATTGAAGAAGAAGCGTTTCTAAATATTTTATTTTTATTTTAATTTTTATTTACTTATGATAGTCACAGAGAGAGAGAGAGGCAGAGACACAGGCAGAGGGAGAAGCAGGCTCCATGCACCGGGAGCCCGACGTGGGATTCGATCCCGGGTTTCCAGGATCACGCCCTGGGCCAAAGGCAGGCGCCAAACCACTGCGCCACCCAGGGATCCCTCTAAATTTTTTAAATTACAAATTTATCTTTGATGAATACAAGTAATGAAAATCTCAGTCTCGTGTTTTCATTAGAATCATCAGTTCGAAGCTAACTATTAGTAAGACAACATGACATTTTGTAAGCAGATTAGACTATTCTGCTTCTTATAGTAAAAAGTTTTAACCAAAAATTTTCCATGACCAATAATATTCAAAACTTAACAGTTGTACAATAAAACAATTTTAAAATGAAAACCTATAAGAATCACGACTTCAAAAAATACCTAAAACTCCTTGGGGCACTTGGGTGGCTCAGTTGGTGAAGCGTCTGCCTTCATCTCAGGTCATGATCTCAGGGTCCTGGGATAGAGTTCCGTGAGCCCCGTGTCGGGCTCCCTGCTCAAAGGGGAGTCTACTTCTCCCTGTGAGGCTCCTTCCCTCCTCAACTCCTGGGTGGAAGCACATGCCCTCAAGCTCTCTCTCAAATAAGTAAAATCTTTTTTTAAAAAAATCAACTCTCTTAAATGGAATCAACAATTGAAAATTCAGAGACAGGGAGACTGAGTGGCTCAGAGGTTGAGCATCTGCCTTCAGCTCAGGGCATGATCCTGGGATGCCTGGATAGAGTCTCGCATCTGGCTCCCTGCAATAGAACCTGCTTCTCCCTCTGCCTATGTCTCTGTCTCTCTCTGTCTTCATGAATAAATAAAAATCTTTTAAAAAAAAGGGAAAAAGAAAATTCAGAGACAAACAGGAACAAATTACACATCTTACCATCTTTTGTGTTTAAAAACTTTCTCAGGCTCTCATTGACTAGAGGAGTTTTGTTCTGTTAAAAAATGAAATATTTTGTCAGGTGTTTATCCTAAAAACAACTACACAATGTGGTTTAATTTTTTGGCAAAGATATAAATAGAATACAGTCAGTCATACAATTATGGCTAAACCCATTCCGTAACTATTGATTACTATGTGAATTGTTTCATGCTATTTACTCTCCCAAAGCTTATAAAAATGAAACCATATGTGAAAACTTGCACTTATCTTTAACTTTTAAATATTTCATAAATTGCTTTTTAACCACTTTAGAAGCTAGATCTTCAAATACTCCTGTGAAATCTTATTACTTTAATTGCAAAACCAACTGCATTTACTTATATTTATTATTCTAAATCCATGTTGACATTTTGTCATTGTAGGTATCTACCATTTATAGCATGCTTACTGTGAGCAGGACTCAAATTACACACTTGCTATTTGCAGCTCATCCGCAGTATGTAACATGATTTTGTGTAGTGCTTAGGCCAACTTATTTTTGTCATTAGACATTTGAATAGATACAGGAAAAATATTTCTAGCTCACTCGAGCTTCTTTAAGCAGAATGAATGAATTATAGGTGTAACAGCAGTCTCATGCTCCGTGGATGGGATTATGAATGGTGTAATCACTTTGGAAAGTAGTCTAATAATGTTCTAAAAAGTTAGAAGTACCCCAACCCTGTGACCCATCTGTGGGCATTTTCTCAAAAGCAAAGCACAGATCCAAGCAAAGACGTGGACATGAATGCTCACAGAGGCCCTATTTATAACACTTGACAACTGGAAACCAGCCAAATGCCCATCAGCAAATGAACGACTTAACAAACTGTCACATATCCATACAATGGACACCACACAGGACTAAGACAGAATGAACTATTCCTACAAATGACAATATGAACAAATTTCAAATGCATTATGCTGAATCAATTCAGCCAGATCAAAAACAGAAAAGAGAGTCTGTGCTATAGGATCCCCACATGTATGGCTCTTAAAATGCATGGGATGGGTAGCCTTGGGGTGTGTGGTAGGGAGGAAGTCTTGGAGGGTCAAGTACAGGTACACTATCTTGACTGTTTCCATGGTTGCATAAATGTTAAAATGTAACACACTGCACATCTAAGTACACTGAGTTTACTATAGGTCAACTGCACTTCAATAAAGCTGTTTTTCAAAGACTCAAAAAAAGACAAGGAAGGGACGATCACAAAGGTCCTTAGTAGGCTGGTCTAGGGAATTTTAAGACATTGACTCAACTGAAATACTTAAGGAAAATGGAGGGACAAGATCAGATATGTATTATAAACAGCTAAACCAGGAGCACTGCAGAGAAACGACTTCAGGAAGATGCTGAGGGACACAACCAAAGGGGAGACGGGAGAGAAGGAAGGGGTAAAGTAATCTGCAAAAGCAATAGCGAAGCACAAGCTAGGAGGGCAGGAGAGAATCTCCTTAGACATCTCAGGTACAGAGCTGACAGACAGAACCAGGAGACAGAGCGGACACACAGACAGAGGAGCAAGGTCCAGGTGACTCTCAGATCTCCTGCTTGGACAAAGAGTGGTCCCCATAAGCCAAACCACTCTAGCAGGTAGTGTCACATCCAGGTCTGATGCTCATAGCACGGCTCAACAATACAGGGCTGAAGTCACTGGTAGAATTAAGGTCATCCAGGGAGAGAACACAGAATGAGAGCTACTGGATAATAGCTCCAAGGACTGGAATCAGGTGTAGAGAAATAGAAACCAAGGAATGCTCAAAATGAAAAAAGAAAAGAGAACAGAAAAAAAGTCCCAAATATCAAGGGAGATTTTCAGGAAGGAAAGGAGGAATTAAGAATTTCAGATGCAACAAAGAACAACTAAATTAAGAACACAGGTAAAAAGTAAAACATACTCAATAAAAAGATTCTTCTTGATCCCAGAAAGATAATTCCTTAGAGGTAATGGATTTAAGTGGATTTAAGATGTTAACGGCTAAAGGGTGTCTGGAACATAAGAAAGACACACATATTCTTTCCAAATTCGGCTGTGAGGGAAAAAATTGAGGAATATTAAAAGCAAAACATGGATTAAAGAAAACAGCTATCTCCTTGAGATATAAATATGCTTCTATGCTCAAGGAAAGAACCCACAGAAAGGGAGAGGCCAAAGACACAGCAAATGGCTGAGGAGCTGGGTACCTGGAAGGCAAAACCCAGAGAAAGTGACTATTCTTAGACTAAATAGAGACTCCTCCACTAAAACATGTAGGAAAATGGTATGAATAAATACATACAGGGTAGCTTTTTCTGAACTGAGTGATGGATTGCAAGGGGCGGGATGCAATACAGAGTTAGGACCTGATGCTCCTATTTCCTTGTGAAGGAAGAAACGAGGCCAGCTGTTGAGAGTGCAAGGAACAGTGAAGCTAAGTGGGAGGTGCTGAGTGAAGAGGACTCAGCCTGCACAGACCTTCGCTGAGGCTGGTACCCACCACTGAATCACAGTAGTGATCCAGTGCTGGGGAACTACTTAATGCATACACATCAAAGCAAGGAGGGGAGGTTAGTTTGCTCAATAAAATGAAATTTGCAGTTTTTCCCAGAGCAAGTATGGCTGAAGATGAAGCAGGTGCAGTTTCTTAGACATGAACTGCAGGGTCCAGAGAAGTCGAGAACAGAAGGTGACCGAGAGCAGACAGACACCTAGACAAAAACAGAAGAGAACTGAAGCACTTCGTGACATTAAAGAAGTGAAGAGGAGATGAGACATATTTGTCATAGGAAGGTGAAGACCTTCCTTTAGAAGGATTACAGAGGGATTCCTGCCGACAAGTTCCAGGATATTTATTCACAGTAGTGGGAAGACATGATAGAGGAAAAAAACTAAATACACTTATATGAAGAAGTGAGTGGACTTTGGACAGTGAGACAGACCACACGAGCTTAAAGTAAATGGGTGGTCAGAGAGTGGACAACAGTTGCATCCTATATTCCCTGCACCTGCTGGGCATCCACAGTGCACACTGAGGTAGTAACAGTGCTGCAGACTCAGGACAATGAAACCCGTGCCTCACGGAGCTCCTACGACCTTGTTTTTCAGATTTCCCCTATGGAAATACACCTATACCACCCAAGATTCAGTACGGGCCTCAGAGTGACTACAGCACCTGAACTTTCTTTTTAGGTTACCCCAGAATTCTAAAACACAGACAAAAGGAGAATAATCTTGCCTGTGTTCCAATAGTTAAAGAAATTACTCCTTACTAGTTCAAAACCATCCCCGGCTACACACGAATACAAGTACTACTATTCCAGGACGGCGACTAAGTAATCAGAAATTAAACACAGGTGAGTGTGGCAATATTAAAATCTGTAGATTTCATACCTCTACTTTTTCTTGCTCTTCTAGTGCTAAAAACACAGCTGCTCGTAGTTCAGCCTTTAAAAATAGGAGGGAAGGAAAGAAACAAAAATTGTTTCAAGGCAATTTTCATGGCAAGAAGTGCATATACGACATTCGTCCACAGGCACCAGCCCCACTGTCTAGCAGCCCAAATGCGAAAACTAACGCGACCCCAAAGCCTAAGCGGGCAGGTGCGGAGGGGTCCGAGGGCGCCCTGAGATGCTCTCCCGCACAGAGCCCGCCGCTCGTCCCCCGCCGCTGCCCCCGCGCCCGCCGCTGCCGCAGCTCCCCGTATCCCCGCGCGGGGAGAGCACCCCCGGGCTGGGAGAGCCCCCACCCCTCAGGGAGCCGCCCCTCGGTCCAGTCCCCGCGCGGTTTCCCCGCCCCCCTCCAGCCCCAGCCCCCCGCCCAGCAGGGAGCCGCCCCCCCCGGGCCTGGCCCCGCCCCCAGGCCCATGGCCCCGCCCCCTCCACCCGGCCCCGCCCCCGATCCGGCGCCCCCCAGACCCCGGCCCCGCAGGGAGCCGCCCCCCGGGCCTGGCCCCGCCCCCAGCCCAGCAGGGAGCCGCCCCCCGAGGCTGTCCTCGGGCCCCCCCACCCCGACCCGGCCCCGCCCCCAGCCCCCAGCCCCGCAGGGAGCCGCCCCCCGAGGCTGTCCCCGCGCCCCCCGACCCCGACCCGGCCCCGCCCCCAGCCCCCAGTCCCGCAGGGAGCCGCCCCCCGGGCCGGGCCCCGCGCGGCCCGCCCCGCCCCCGACACCCCGCCCCCAGCCCCCGGCCCCGCAGGGAGCCTCCCCCACCCCGTCCGCGGCCCGGACGCGGCCCCGCGCCTCTTTGTGACGCCCGCTGTCCGCCCTGGCCCTGCGGCCCCCGACGCGGCCGGCGTCCCCGCGGCGCGGCCCAGCCCACCTTGATGCGGTTCAGGACCCCGCTGTTCTCCAGCGTCTGCACCAGCAGGTCTCGCAGCTCCGTGTCCTCCTCCGGCACCACCGCGGCCGCCGTCGCCGCCATCTTGCTTCTCCAAGACAACCGCCCAAGCCGCGCCAGCGGCCAACGGCCGCCGCAGATTCCGCACGGCGCGCGGCGACGCGGTCGAGGCCACGCCCCCCGCGCCGGCACGCAGCCCGCCCTCACGTCGGGGGCGGGGCCGCGGGGAACTCGAGGGGCGGGGCCGCGGGTGGGGGGCGGGGGCGGCGCGAGAGCTCCGAGGCTGGCGGTACAGGTGGCTGCGTCGCCCTGCGGTGCCTCGTCCTTAAAATTGTATTTCATCGCACGCGTGAGTCAGTCTTTTGCTTTGAGGGTCAGACGTGTTCCCACCGGGCAAAAGGGACACCCAGACCTGCCCAGCCAGCCTCGGACGGGGCGGGGCAGGCAGAGGGTCGGTGTCTGGGGCACCTGAGCTGGTCCCCGTGTGCGGCTCCCGGTGCAGACGGGAAAGCCCTGACGTCTGCCTCCTTTCCACCGTGCAGCCGAACTGTGTGCACGTACGCGGAGGTAGGCCTGCATGCGTATATGGCAATGTGCTCATCGAGACAGCATGTGCAAACACGCGTGCGTGTGCAGCGCGCTCACCGGGAGAGACAGCCCGTCATGCATGCGTGTGTGTGCACGCGCACTCACCAACAGAGCCCGTACACGCTTGCGTGGGTCATTGTGCACGCGCTCAGGGAGACCATGCGGGTGTGCACGCTCACAGGGAGGTGTCCTGGATACCCTAGAAGAGGGTGGAGGGAGCCTTACTACTCAGTGTCGATTATAGGAACCGTCAGTTATCAGGAGAAGAGTGGTCCACGGGGCAGAATCGTGCATTACAGTCCCCAACAAGGAAAACTGGACTGCGCCTCTTACCAAAAAATCCACCACAGCTACAATTCAGCCAATGAGAAATCATCTCCACCTTGAACTCCTGCTTTTTTCCAAAGGACTTTGGTTCAGAACATCTCCCAATTTCCTCTTTCTTCTCCATAAAATAGCGTTCCTCTCCTATGTTTGGAGGACTTGCCTATGGTTTTGCCATAGCTTGCATGTCCTAAATTGCAATACTCTGTTATTCCCAAATAAACCTATTTTGGCTGGTAAAAAAAAAAAAAAAAAAAAAAAAAAAAAAAAAAAACTGACTTCTGTTTTTGAGGTTAACAATACCCGGGAGTATGTGTGAGTATGTACACGCGCACACAGAAAGCGCACACATTTGCACTGGGGTACAATGTATTTTACATGGATGTTCTTTATGCTCTGTATGTTTCAATGGTCTTGCAATAATATGTTGGGAAGGTGAGGGAATCCAGAAGTAGGAGGAAGCTAAGTAAGAAAAAGTGCAGATTCTAGAACCCTACCCTGGGGATCCTTCCTGGGTCTGCAGTAGGTCCTAGGAATATTTTCACAGCCCAGGTGACTGTAATGCGGGGGGGGGGGGTACTCTGCAGATTATTATGAGAAACGGTGCATATAAGGAAGAAAGCAGAAGTGGAGGTTTCCCATCTCATCAGCTCTCCTCCCCACCAGAGTGTTAAAATTGGTATATCTTTCTAAACAACCTTATATAGAAATGTTACATAGACACATACTTCTCCCCTTCCATAATCCGCATCCTATGCTTACTTTTTAGTTTACTAATATCACTTAATAAATCCTAACCACGTTTTGATATTTGTACACACATATTCTTTTTTTTAAGATTATTTATTTATTTATTCATTCATGAGAGACACAGAGAGAGGCAGAGACAGAAGCAGGCTCCATGCAGAGAGCCGCACGTGGGACTCGATCCCAGGTCTCCAGGACCATGCCATGGGCCAAAGGCAGGCGCCAAACCACTGAGCCACCCAAGTGTCCTTGTACACACGGATTCCACCTCCTTCTTTAACTCCTGCGTAGTATTCTGTTGAAGGGTATTCCATACACTACTTCTTGTTTTGTTCACATTTGTTCTGTTTGTGGAAGTAATGCATAGTGATGGTTAAAAATACAAAAAGGCACTTGTGATGAGCATCAGCTGACGTATGGAAGTGTTGAGTCACTATAGCATACACCTGCAACTACTATAACCTGTATGTTAACCAAACAGAATTAAAATAAAAACTTAAAAACTATGATTGTCCTAACACGTAGATTATTTATCATTAAGTATTTATAAAATATTTCTGAGGAACCTATCAAAAAAATCCAAACAAAATGGGGAAATATTAAAAGTAACAGTGTCCACATCCTTCCTGCAGTCACCTACTCTCACCCAATACCACACTCTAGACCTACCCACCATTAAATTTGTTTTCCTTCTTCCGCTTCTTTTCATGATAACTCTGAATACTATACTCCTACATCCTGACTCATCAACCATGAATGGTGCCTTCCAAAGAATGAAAATGTATTTTCCAACTTCTAATTCTTAAAATTCTGTTACTTTTAATTGTGCTGGTGAGGATTTTGTGACTCTAAACTGGCTACCTAAATCATCATTTACCCATTTACACATCACCTCTTAGCTCCCTGCTATGGGAAGTGAGGAAATGAGTACATTTGTGCTCTCTCACCTCCCCTCTAATGTTGTCAGTGTGATTCTCATTTTTACACTGTCAGGAATGTACATTCTTTCCCTAATTCACATCTTTCAAACTTTCTCTCCAGGTTGACCGAAAAACAATGGATTCATAATATTAGGGGTAAAACAGGTCTGTTAGGCAAACCCCATATGCCTTTGAAATTAACTCTTTCCTGCATCCAGAGCCAACCTCCAACTGCTAACCCCTGAGACGATTTGCCTCCTGGCTTTTCTGACCACCAGAGCCTGTGCTGCCTGCTGCCTACATTTGGGGAAGGCCTGAAGTACCAGGGAAACACTCTCCTGAGAGCACCTCAACTACTGGCTGTGACTGCATAAGGACCCCCACCTTACTCCCAGTTGGGGTGCATACAGTGGTTCTACACTGGCTCCTACGGTTCAGGTCTGAGCTACAGTTAACTAGAAATCTGCTGGATAGCACAGCCTTTACTGCTTCCCTAACCTGCAGTGTCCCACTACCCCACTCCCTCTCCCGTGTTTCCTGGGACCCCCTCTCCTATACACTGGTCACACTCACATCCTTGTTTCATGGTCTGCTTCTGAGACACTCAAACCAAGACAGGTAGACCAGCTTCATTCCCTAGGGATGGGGCCCTGGAACTGGATCATCCACCAGCCAAGTGGCAGCAGGGAGCCACTGTCGCTGTCTGCCAGGTGGCCGGTGGCCTGGCATGGTATAGAAGCTGTGCTGGTAGGACTAAGTGGGAGAGGACATGTGGAAGGGGGGGCATTGGCTTGGGCCATCTCTCTAGCATTGAAGACAGGTGTGATGGTAATTTTAAAGATTCCAGAGTCAGTTTTTTTCTAATGATATTAAAGTGCTGAAGGAAGAAGATAACAGGTTCAAGTCAGCCAATTCTCAACCTAGGGCATGGTGTAAAAACTACCCTGTCAGCCAGAAACTCCCATGACACCACATCTGCAGCTTGAAATCCTCTATAATAGGAAATTCTATGGAGATTAGCAAATGCTATAAATTAAGGCTTTTTTTTTTTAACAGAGAGCCAGTTGTTAAGCATTTACTAGCACACCTTTGCATTCACTAGGCTTCATCCAAGGATTTATACTGCTTGTTCATTCTCAAAGCCTCTAGACCTCTCTAAGCTTCAGACTCCTTAGCTGGGAAGTATTAACCTACCTCACAGAGTTCTGTGATATAAAATGAGACAGTTTGTTGGAAATCACATCTATTTCCTGATATTGAGAAAAGACTTATTGGGAAGTTGGCTTTTGAGATTGGCCTTAAGGAGAACCAATAAAACAGAAGTAAGGTCATTCCAAATGTGAAGGTTAACAGGAGTCAGAGAAAGGGCTGGGAAGTCGGGCCCATGCTGGCAAATGTGGGATCTGATCTGTAAGAACCAGGACCCATGAGGGAAAGTGGGAGCCAGTGGGTCTGGAAAAAAAAATGAGAGGAAATTACTAAGTGTAGACTTTAGGTGGAAGGACACTGAGGAATGGAAGCGAAGTTAGTATCAGTGACAGAAGCGCAAGGGGGAGCGGGTTCCACACAGATAATGGTGGGTTTTCTGGGGAAGGAGGAGAGTGAGTGTCTTATGAACACCTAGGTTTGGATATCCAGGAGGCAGTTGGAAACCCATTTGTCAGCATCTTACGCTGAACCCTGGCTGTGGAAGGTGGTAAGAAGATCCGTTCCTTGAGTCAAGGAGCTGGCCAGCCAAGGCATCCAGATGGATGACCAACTCCTGTGACCTGTATGAAGATCCCAATGAGGACTCTGGGAGGGACAGGGCACCCCCGGTGAGACACACAGGACCACACCATGAGGCTTGCTGATGGCAGAGGAAGAAAGAGGCATTCCAGGCCGATGGAGAACGTACCAGAACTCCATGGCCTAGAGTGCAGGGAGGTATCGGGGAGAGTAGGGGGGCAGTGAGCTGGAAGTGGAAGCCACTGGTCACCGAGGCCTTTACCCACCCACTAATCCGGCTCAACCTCTATCTTGAAGGGATGAAAGTGTGGTAGCCATAGTTTTAAAAGCAATGTGGTATTATTCCTTTGGATTTTATGAAGTGTCCAGAGCAAGGGGCAGTGGGAATTAGTCCAGCAGCACAGAGAGAATAAAGACAGGCCTGAACTCCGCTCAGAAGAGAAGGCTCATTATCAGGAATTCTAAGCACACTCGACCAAAATTTGCTGTGTCGATTGCATTATTTCGTTAGCTATCGAGGAGAAAATCTCCCTGATTTCTTTCTGTATGGAATAGCTCAGAATCCTTTGAATATATTGCCACATGCCATGTAAAAAAGAGAAAAAAATTAACATATTCTAAATTTTTATAAAAGAAAGAATATGTCTCTAAAAATCCGTTAGATGTTGCAATATGCATTTCTCTTCTGACCTGGTTATGACCCAGGATGCTATCACATAGACAGAGTGTCTTCATTAGAAAGTCATCGCTCACTGTCCACAATAAGCCATGATTTAAGCTCCGTACCTGAAATCAGTAAATTCTGCAAGATAACCACGAGGACCATG